GGTGGAGGTGGAGGTGGCGGCGGCGAAATGATCCCCGTGCCCTGTTGCTGACCACCACAGAAAACGTATCTGAGAGATTCTCAGGATCGATCAAACAGGCCAAGTTACATCCCTATAGAGCCCCTAGAGTCTGTGACAGTACCGCCATTTTGAGAAACCGACATGTGTTGTGTAGCTAGCAGGCCCGGGTGCAAGGAGCTCAAAAGCAAAAACAAATCGCATCTTCTCCGCTCTGGGTGGCTCTCTTGGAACAACGAATTCATGCTCTCACGCGTCCTGGACTGCGACCAAGCAGCCAATGAATTCGCGTCCCTTCGCTTTGGGATTATCGACCTTTGTCAGTCATGCTGCCTACATCGCACTGGTGCGAAGTAGGGCTGCGCAGGGAATGCAGGAACGCGTCACAGGGACTAATTCTCGTTGGGGATTCTACAAGGACCACTACTGGGATCCATTCCCTCATTACCTACTATCAGGAAGTCATAATACGAAAGCTCCATGCCGATGTTAACCATGCATGCCATCCACTGCACCGAATAAGCTGCTGCTGCAGCAGGCGTGCATGCTTTTTGCCGTGGCATCTGCGAACTGCAAACCTACTTTGCGGAACTCGCTGGCCTCAACCTATGCCTTCGTTCTCACGGGAGCTTTTTGCTCACCATGTCTAGTAGCACTATCAATGACTTGTGAAACGTGGAAAATGCGAGACTGTCTGCATGCCGCGTCACGCAGATGCTAGGGGCTTCCTGTCCAGGAAAGTACTGCGACTGGTAGCCTATATAACCCCTATATAACCCGCATAGAACCCCCATAATAATCCAAATAGAATAGCCAGGAAATCCCAGGTGGTGAAAGATCTCCTCCATCCAGGCTACTGTGCCGTGAATATTTCTTCGAATGCCGAAGCCTTTGCAAGCCTTCAAACCATCGGCTTACGACCTACGGGTGACTATGGGGGAGTGAGGGAGTGTTAGTGTTAAGTACTTTTCCGGGTTTAGTGTTTAAAGTGTGGTGGGGTGAATACCTACACTATTTTGAGGGTTTATAAGGATTCTCAAAGGTATCCGCTCCCCCTTAAGCACCCGCAGGAAAAGCAACTGCGGTAAAAGGGCCCCTTGCCCATCAAATCGCAAAGGCGCTCTGCGCAGTGTGGGCCTCAGACTCCGAATGCCCCTAAGCCCTCAAGCCCCCACACCATAATACCTCCCCCTAAGGACCACGGGCCCCCTTAGTACCTCCCCAAGGTTAGCCCTTACTTATGGTTGCTTCGGGCCCAAAAAAGCAGAAAAGATGTTAACTCAGTGGGAAACCTGGGGGGGGGAGTAGGGGGACCTAAACGAAAAAGCTCCCCACTCCCCACCGCCCTCATACTTGATATGCCTGAAGCCTAGTACCCCAACATGGAGAAGGTGCGGGAGGCTGTATATAGGGCGCGGGGTTACTTGGGGCATGTGCGTATTTAGCCTAGGGCATGCCACTGTCACTGCGACTCTATCAGTATGACCACCATGCCGTCATCGCTTGTTGCACTGTATCCTCGTTAGCACATTCAAGCTCTTCCTATCACCTACACACCCGTCCTACGTCCCAACAGTACAGTTTCACCATCATATACTGGCACTCTCTAATGGGAATCGTCACCATTAGTCGGCAAGAGGACTTATTACGAGGGGAGCAATCAGTTTGCACCCTATATAACCGAAACCCTACACCCTACACCACAATCCCAGTTTCCATGCCATTTTCCATTTGGTTCCTCCAAGATCAGATCTGTACCCCAGGCCTTCCAAATATCATGTGGTATCCCAGCCACTGGCTTCACCATTAGCCAAACTGTGAGATTCCTAAGCCCATTTCCGGAAAATGGGATGACAAGGAATGCAAAGCCCCGGCTGCACTAATGTTTCTCGTTACTTGAGCAGGCCTCTGCATGTTTGGGCTGAAGGGTTTTCTTCTATGAGTGTGGGGGGGCGGGAGGCGAGATCCATGATTTGGCCAAGCCACATCTGGAGTAGAGCTTGAAGGAGCCTCCTCTGCGGTCCCGGATGCGTGCAAGTGGCTGGCTTTCTCCGCAATGTCGGCTTTCTCCGCAATGTCTAACCTTTCCTCTGACTCCTGCAGCAGTTCCAGGATGCATGTCTAGTGATTGGAGACATGTTTAAATCAACACCTAACGGGAGTCTCCCTGGAAGGAACCGCTATACCCAAAGCACTTCCTTTGCGATGCTTCTTTGCCCCTCCTCCTCTGTTTCGATGAAGTACACGGCATGGCCCACCCGAAAGAACCGCCAGAATCGAGCGAATATGACAGCGCCAACCTGGCAGTGTGCTGCTGCTGCTGCTGCGACTGCTGCTGTATGCGCATGCAGGTGTGGAGGATGGACAGATACTCTATCAGACCTGCCGAGCTTGTCGGCTAGCATGAGCTGTTAACATGTTGTGTGAGTTCCGCGCTGCCCGGAGACCATGCGCAGGTGCAGTCCACAACTGAGGAGAGAGCCACATGAAAAGCTCCGCCAAAATCTTTGGCGATGCTGCCACGATTCCTGCAGGCATTGGCCGGTGCATGCAATTAAGGAAATTCAGTCCGCTTGCGGCTGCAAGTTGCTCCAGGGAGGACATGAATGCCCTCCCAGCGGCAGCTGCATGTCTGATTTCCCTGCCCACTTCGACTTCGATATATCCCGTACGCGAGAAAGCCTTCAAGGAGTTGAAGCAGCAGGAAGAAGCTCGTCGACGACGACAAAAAACACAGCGTGAAGAAAGCCGTCGAAGGCAAAAAACTGGCAGTGATATCTCAGGCGAGAACTTTCCATTTAACACAGAATTGGCTTGCCTTACGAGGAGGAGGAAAAGAACGTCCACAGCATCAGCAACATCGACTACAAGAACAACATGGTTGTTTAAACCTATAGTCCCCTTCAGTAGATAGAATATGGGGAAATGGGGATCTCCTTAGAATATACCCAAAGCCATATTTTATCTACTTAAGGGGGACTATAGACCCTCTGACTACCCTCTGGTTACCATCCATTAGACCCAAATACTCGACATTAGGGACCCTATAGGCCCAGCTTAACGGTAAGTGGTTTAGGGTTTAGGGTCTAAGTATGTCGAAAATAGAACTCTCAACCCCATAACCGTAAACTCTGAAATCCTAAATTCTGAAACTCCTGCACCTCAACCCCAAACCCTGACACCCTAAACTCACACGGGCAAATCAACCGCACTGAACTCTGAAACTCTTACCAACCCCAACCCCAACCCTAAGCCCTGAATCGTTTTTTTGAATCTGGACTTGAGCCCTGAATCCTTATCCCTAAACCTCTGGGGCTATACTTGGAGGGTCAGGGGGACTGAGAAAGTAGGTTAGTAACCCCGTAAAGCCAATGTAGTAAGCCTGTTTATCCCCATTATTAATAATAGGATGGGGCCTATAAACTAAGCCCCTATAAGTCTCCCTGACCCAAAACCCCCAACCCCACACCCTAAATCCAACATACTACAGTAGATGCCATTTTCTTTTCCAGTCCCCATACATCCCTACATAGTCCCCTGGAAGTGAGGGGAACCCTAAATCCAAAATAATACATAGTAGTTTCCATGTTCTTTTCAATTTCAATTCTTACCCTACTGGGCACCCCAGAGCCTGAACCCTAAACCCTGAACCCTAAATCCTCAACCCCACACCCTACCCCTAAACCCGGAACCCTATAGCACCCTAAACCCTAAATCCTAAGCCTCTCTTTCATATAACCCTGAACCCTTAACCAGATTTTCGAAACGCGGTCTGTAGCGTGCTCGGCTCCAACACCTCCTGTGCGGTAAGGCAAAGTGCTGGAACAAGGTTTCGGGATGAGAGGTTAAGGTTGGGTACTGCCCCCCCCTCACTAACAGTTGGATAATAAGTATAATATGGTGATATATGGCCCTTAATAGGACCCCTAATATAGACTGTCACCGGCAGGGAGGCAGTACCCAAGGTTAAGGGTTTATCAAGGGTTCAGTGTTAAGGGTTTGGGTTAGGAGTTTAAGGGGTTAACGTTTAAAAACTAGGCCATGTGAGGGGTGATGAAAACCCCCCACCCGTTTAAATGACCCTTAATCCTGCTATCGTTTGTTTTTACTCT